GTCAGTTTAGAAAACCAAGGGAGCTTTAATGTTTAAATTTAACTATTACCGAATCCCGTAGGAAAGACGCCAAAAACATCTTTCTTTTCAACAAATGCCTTGATCCCATTTCTCTGTTCCTCTTTTAAAATTAATTTGTTGTCGATATCTTCTAGAACAGACCTAATAGCAGAATCTACACTCCTCAACTCTCCAGCGGCAGCCATTGTTGTTGTCACCCATGCGCGCTTTGGTCACGTGGTTGATTACGTTACTGTTGATCATCTGTCCATCATCGTATAAAGCCCGCCCTTACAATTTGATTGGTCCGACCAGATATTGTGCGAGCATACTCGCGCTACTATTGAGCAATGCCAGACCGAACTTCCCGACCTCAAACGTTGTGGGCGGGAAGTTCGGAATGGCACCCAGGCTATATTGACATGAGAACAATCTTGAAATCTTGAATGCAAAATGTTCATATATTGTTTTTTTTACAATTTTAAGTTTTACAGTCTCTGTACTTCAGTTACAATTAATCAATTACTAAATTAGTAGACGATTATTTCAGTAATTGATTAATCCCGATTCATCTGATTGTCTCAGCTCTATTTTAATCCAGGCCTTTAAAGCCGGGCGTACACTTCGATTATTTTCAATCATTGCACACAGCTACAGCTCACACTGTAGTAAAAAAAACAGTGTGAGTTCACAGCTCATGATTTATGTTCGGCCCGACGCTCTGATGTGATCTACCTGCTCACACTGTACGACTAAAAAACACGTCGGACTCGGCTCCACAGTGAGATGCCGCTACTCGGACTCGTCTATCCGGAATGAGTAGAAGAGCAGGGTTCCCTTAGGTCCTTAAAAAGTCTTAAAAGGCATTGAATTCCTCAAAATAAAACTAAGGCCTTAATTGGTATTAAAATGTCTTAAATCAGTCTTTCGTAGGTCTTAATTTTTAAAACATCATAAACAGGATTATTTTTATTATGATTTATTTTGTAATCTCAATAAAACATTAAAATTGACCTTTTTTAAATTTATTTAAAAAAAATAAAAATAACGGCTTGCCATTATTGGTTCCGTCCCAATAGTGGAACCAATAAAGCGTTGTTGCAGCCGGGACATTTGGGAGATGCGCCATTAACTTTTTGTCTGGAAAATATGAGCAAGTGTAAATGTAACCAAAATTGTCTCCAGCCAAGAGTTTTCTCCATGGCTAAAACCAGGGAACATACATGAGGCTCAGTGGATTTTGTGCAAGAAGTCATTCAAGCTCAGAACGATGGGAATTAAGGCAGTGGAGTCGCACATGCGAAGCACGAAACACAAAGTGTCAAAATGGAGTTGCCGAGAAACAGCTGGTATTTCTCAGTTTTGTTCCACCCTTGTCTCTGCAACGCCTCCACTTATCACCAAATCAAACATACTAAGAAAACGATACAAAGAAAAACAGCTGCAAAAAAGACTTAGCACTGGTTATGTTGTGTCTTTAAAACTAATTTGTTTTGTTCCCTGCTGAAACAAAGTTTGTGAATTCAGTTAAATAATTGTTAAAATATATCTGTCATTTGTGTGTTTTTAGCTTTCTTCCTGTATGGGAAGTTTTTCAAAATTTGAAACATTAGTGCAGTGGTTTATGTTAAAATAAACCTTTGGGTTAAGTTGTTGCAAGCGGGTTTTTCTTCTTTCTTGTGAATTTGGTCTTAAATTTTTATTTCAAGTGCATTAAAAAGTCTTAAAAAGTCTTGAATTTAACTTGCCTTATGCTGTAGGAACCCTGAAGAGGAATATGAAGCTCAGTAGAGTGAAACGCGCTGCCTTGGCAATTTGTGCAATTTTGTGCTGAAAGCCCTAAAAACAAAAGGAGACGACGTATTTAGACAAAGACATGTCTGAGCAAACGTGGCTACTACGGTCTGTCAATTTTACAGAAAGAACTCCATTTCACTCATTGCACCCTCGCCATGCTTTTGTGTTTACATCTGAGAGGAAGGAGAAAAAGAAGAATCCTTGTTTGAGAGATTTGCAAACGACGGTTGTAAGAGGCTGATCGTCCCTCGTAACCCCCTGTACACTACACCAGCGGTCCCCAACCTTTTTTGCGCCACGGACCGGTTATATGTCAGACAATATTTTCACGGACCCGCCTTTAAAGTATGGGGGTTAAATACGATCAAATAAAATGATACGACTGGCATAAAATCAAATACAAACAGCATAAACATAAAACTCACAATTATGCTGAATTAGTGGCAGCCCTGAGCTTATTTCTCCAAAACAAACCGGTCCCATCTAGGCGTAATTGGAGACAATGACACACGAATTGTGCTCTTGATGTCCAGTCTTCCCAGTCTAGCTCTGTTTTGGTCGCTGTAACCGCAGAAAATCCTGCTTCACAAAGATAGGATGTTATAGATAGTAGGGATGCACGATATAATCGGCCCCCTATCGGTATCGGCCTGTATCGGCCTTAAAACTGAATATCGGACATCGGCCACCCCACCGATATTTAACCCGATATTTGATCAGCTTCTGAGTTTCTAAAGTCTAAAAAATAAAAAAATACTACTACTTCTTCCTCAAAAACTTCTTTTTTACAGACTTAAAAACTTCTAAAGACGAGGGAAAAAATATTGATACATTAAAATATCACAATATCTTCATATGCTGATATATTGCCATTTAAAAACACCATATCAATCTCTTTTACTAATGAAATATTGCTATATGTCATCGTTATGCTACGAAATCCCCTGAAAATTCACAAAATGTTGCCATATTTTTATATGTTGATATATTGACGCGGTATCGATCTATTTTACTAACAAAATCTCACATACCGCGTTTTTAAAAATCAATTTGATATCAGCATATGAAAATATATTTGAGTATATTATTTTTCAAAGTGTCAGAAATGGATAACAAAACAGCTATTTTCAATGACTACTTATTTTTGTCCAGCTTTAACATCAGTATCGATATCGGTTATCGGCTACATGAGTTTTAAAATATCGGCATATCGGATATCGGCCAAAATCCCAATATCGTGCATCCCTAATAGATAGGATAAGTCTTGGCCTGAATTAACCTGTGTCAAGAGGCACAGATAAACCGACTGATGTAATTGGGAGAGAATACCCCAATGTTTTATATTTTTCAAAATAAAACACTCAGACTCTGATCGTCGATAAATTATAAATATATTTTTTTTTCTGTGCGGCCCGGTACCAAATGACCGACGGACCGGAACCGGTCCGCGGCCCAATGGTTGGGGATTGCTGCACTACACGATGCACGATCAGGCTGAAAGTCGGCATGAAAGATTCTTGCACAACTGGAAAATTACCCCGAAAATCGCAGTGTACTCCCGGCTTTATTAGACTTTGATTTGTTTACTTTCTTTATTGTTTTCCGCCTTTTCATCTGTCCATTAGTATGATCATTCTTCCTTTCATCTATCAAATCTTCTGTTGATTTTATGGTTTATTCATTTTTAGTGGCAGATATGCCTCTTGATTTAGAGGTAAAGCAGAAAAACGCCATATAATCCATTTACTTTTATTTTTGGTCAGCTTTAGCCTCCTGCTCTTCACTGGCAGCTGCAGCTCCAGGTGTGCTGCTCCGCTGCTGTGTAACATCTGCATCTGCACCCAGTCTTTCTCAAACCACCTTAGATCAGAGTCTCCCTGTTTCCTTCGGACATCTGTGCGACGTATGGTGAAAATCTTCAGAAACTCGTCTCTGCCACCTTTAGATGCTTCAGTTTACTACCAAGATGCTGCTTTTGTTCGTAGCAGTGGCGTTATGTAAGATGTCATCAGGTTTTTTTTTGAGGATTATAGGATGCTGAGCCATCCTCCTTTTCTAGAAAGCTGACATCTGTGGGTTTGGCAATAACAGGATGGCTTTTGTTTGTGTTTTTTCTGGGAGAGCTTGACGGCCATGCTGTCCGATAGTATTTATCGCTCCTCCTCGCTGCCATACGTCCAGGAATGTTGCCAAGTTGTTTCAGGTGGGAAGAAGCCCAACTAGGGATTATTAGAAAGCAGAGTTTCCACCTGATTGGAGCTGTGGATGTGAAGGATCTGCATTTCCCCGTGGAGGCGTTCAGGCTCAGTGTAATTGGAAAGGAAAGGCAGCGCTAATTCCTGGCCTTCTGTGGTTTACTCCACAGGACCCCTGAGCCAGCGTTGTGACGTGCGCACATGTTATTGTGCTGATGAGAACCCGCTCAGGTTCAAGCTCTCCCTTCAGTCGGCACGTAGCTGTGCCTTCCAGGAAAAGTACAACGTTCTCACGGGCTTGATGAGGGGGGGGGGGGCGCTTCACAGCAGCCTGTATTGAAAACAAGCCTGAAGAATATTAAAACCACAGACTTCCACCACAGATGCTCATTTTTCAAGCTTGGCTGTCATCTGGTAAATACAGCGGCTAATGCACCGAACAACACACTTTTCTATTAGAGCTCTTAACAGAGGATACTAAATGATGATGCCAATTCACAACACATGTCATCTCAAGGCACTTTACAGTTCACCAGATCATCCAGTCAAATTGATTCAAAGTTTTCTATTTATTTAAGGAAAACCAGTTGATTGCATCGACTCATTGACTCAAGTTAAATCCCTCACACTAAGCATGCTTGTAGCGACAGTGGAAAGGAAAACTCTCCTTTAACAGGAAGAAACCTCCAGCAGAACCGGGCTCAGTGTGAGCGGCCATCTGCCGAGGCCGACTGGGGTTCAAGGAGACAGAAGCAGAGATACAAAAAGCAGCTGTAAAAGGCGGCCCCGTCCAGGAAACACACAGCCAGGCAGACGAGCTCCGAGCCAGCTCCCATGTCAGAGGATAAAGAGAGAACATCCAGCCAGTCACAGTCAGAGAAACAGGACTACACTGAAAAACAGGCAGATTTCCAACATCTATAAACAAAGGTGTTGATGGCAGCAGCACAGCTGATATTTCTCTCCAGGATGGAGTCACAGCCGAACAGGAACAGACCAGATGAAGCTACTATAAGAAAAAGTGGGGAGAGAATAGAGACATAATGAAGCAGAATGATCCAATGGGGGTCCCTATGTTCTCCAGAAGTCTAAGCCTATAGCAGCATAACTATAGAGATAGCTCAGGATAACCTGAGCCACTCTAACTATAAGCTTTATCAAAAAGGAAAGTTTTAAGCCTAGCCTTAAAAGTAGACAGGGTGTCTGCCTCACGGACTAAAACTGTGTCAGACTGAGCAGTTTTTCTTGTCCTCCATTGTTGCACTGTTTGTAATTCATTCATATTAAGTCATGTTCATTTTAAGACATCTGGGCTCCAACATTTGCATTTCAAACCTCTTACTTCTACTATCATGCATTGATCTGTAACTCTGTGTGGCTGCAAACCCATTTAAAGTGTCTTAATGCCAATTTAAGGCCTATTTATACTTCTGACGAATTGCCTCTGCAACCGTCAAATCTTTCTCTGGGCTTGACCACGCCCCCACGCGGAGGTTTTGCAACCATTGTGGCTCGCCATTTTTAAAAAGCGAGGAGTAATAACAATGGATAACCACGACGAAAGGTTGATCGAGGAGGTTCTGAAGTACAACCACTTGTACGACGCCTGAGACATGTTTTGGAAAATAAACACTCCCGCCGGCGCCGCCTAAGAAGTTCTCGTGAGTTCTCCCATAGGCTCCCGCTTGTGCTTCGGTGGGAAACTGCTGTGCGTCCCTAGAAATTCCAGACCGACGTTGCAGAAGCATAGCAGCAAAACTGGTTTGTGACCAGATTAGGGGTGTAAATAATAATCGTTTTGTATCGATGCATCGATCCAACAGCCGACGATCCGAAGCATCGACATGTCCGCAAGAGAATCGATTCATGTTTTTTTTTTTTCTCCGGTCTATTTTTATCCATTTGCTCCTGGGCGTAATTCTCCCTCCCGTGCTGCGGTGGCGCTAAACCCATTTTGCCCTCCTGCCTCGCTTCCTGGTTATACTCTTACAGCAGTGTGTTGCAGTGAGCTTGACGCAGGCATTTTTAATTTATGCTCAATATTAAAGTGTGGTCTGTGCTACACGCTGTGGGTCTAGATACGGCCGAGGTGGTGAGGAAGTGGGGGCGAGTTTAGTCCGACGACGGAGGGACATGAGGGCCAAAAAGAGCAGAGATCCAGGTGGAAAAAGGGTCGCAGGGTTCTCGCGCACCTCGCTCTTCTAGCGGGTAAAATTTCACGAGTTGTTTTCTGCAATTTCGGTCATAAAAACAAAACGGTCAGCTACAATTTGGGAGAAGAGCAGCGGAGCGTCTGTGGAGGGGGCGGGACGTCTGGAGCCGAGGTATTGCATTGCACTCATTGCACTGATTTTGTTCAGTATTTTCTGATGCAAAGCCTTTCAGAATCTATAACGCAGGGGAATGATTATTTTTCAGTGAATGATATTTTAATAGGAGTAGATGGAGTGCAACATAACGATATTAAAGCTTTCATTGATTTATTTCAAATTTGAAACATTGTCCAGCCTGTAAGGTTAAAAGAAAAAAAAATTAACCAATTAATCGAATCGTATCGTGGTGTATTCTTGAGTTTCGAAAGTAATCGAAATAGTGATTATATTGCAAATACAATTAATTACCTAGCCTCTCTAAAGTAAGGAAAGTTTAATTTCTCAGCAGGAAGGAGAAAAACTAGCTTGGGAGAAGTATTAATTGAGTTGTCATCTACTAAACTTTAGAATGAGAATATGCATTATAGATGGTTTTAAAAAGTGGAACAATGTTTTCAAAGTAAAATCAACGATAAAAAGCCTGGTTTGTCTGTAAAGTACGAGCCCCGGTACCAGGATAACGTAACTTTCTGCAGAGGCAAACTGCCTGAAGGGTGTTTGTAATGACATCATGCCAAATCTCTCTGTGCCTGAAATGTGTTAAGAGCTGTCTGTTTATACTGGTGATGCGTGTGTGTTTTTCCTGTCATAAGTGAGTTAGTGTAATTGTGTGAGTAATTGCAGGTGCCGGTGTGTACGAGGACTGATTAGAGGGGAAAGTCCTCTCCGCGTCTCAGCCCCGGGTTTCCAGCAGAGTCACACGTAGATGGCGTGAGCCGTCTTGTTTTTCCTCCCTGTTTATCTTTGCAACCAATTAGAATATCCCTGGCAGAGTTCCCCATTGATCTCATTCCAAGTTCCTGCCACACACAGACTCCGGTTCAGAGATGTCGTCTGTCGCCGAGTGTGTTTTTATGATCCCTCTTTGTTTGTTGTTAAATCTTCTCTTTCTCTCTTTCTGCAGGTTTTGCACGGCGGCTGCTGACAGAAAACTACGCCTGCTGACTTCTGATCTGCAGGATCGGCATGAAGTTAAGGTATCCCCGCATGTGGAACTGCTCTTGTCATCAGACTTGGAGGTTTTATTAAACAGAGTTTCACTGATTGTCTTCTCTCGCTTTCACCCAGGTGATGGAGGGCCACACAAGCTACATTAACGATTTGGTGTTCGAGCCCACCGAGGGGAAACAGATCGTTTCCGTCAGCGATGACCACACTTGCAGGTCCGAGTTGTTTTGTTTCCGTTTCCCCGCGTCTTCCCGGCTTCTGATTTTCAGTCCTGTTCTTTGTTAATGGTGCAGAAAGTCCTGACTGTGTTTCCACTGTGAAACCTGATGCTAAACACAACACGCTCCTCTGTGACTGCATACGCACAGAGCTGCTTTGTAGCATTTCTGGCTAATTTGTTAAATATGGAAATCCAATTAAGCGCAGAAAGATTTACCCCGCTAAGTGGGGGGGAGTTTGTAACAAGGTTCCTAAATTTTCCTCTTCAATTAAGGTGCAGAGAGGGGAAAAACTGTCAGTAGAGAGGGTCAGTGAAGGGACAGCCCCTGAACAGGAAACCATTTTACTGTAAGAAGCAAAGCTGGGCTGAAGCTCTATTATTCATTTCTCTTTAGCCTCATTTTACTAGTTTACCTGCCAATATGATGGCTTCCACCTAAACTTGATTAGCTTAGTGTCTGCTATCCTTTTAGAACTGCTTCGCCTCTATTTATGAAGTCTTATACCCCATTTACACTACCCTTGAAAAACCGTGCAGAGACCGGTCCGAGCTCAGTAACT